CGCCTTCGCGTGCGCGTGCGCCCAGGTTCCCGGAAACGCCACGGCCGTTCCCCGCCCCGCGGCGCCGGGGTCAGGGGTAAGAAAACCCTGCGGTCCCCGGGCAGGGAATCTGAGCTCCATACAGCTGGCCTGCCGAGTCCTTCCTTCCCTAATAGAGGGGACGAACCTCCTCCGGCGTGCGTCCCGACCCGGCCCCTAAAGCCGCCAGGCCCCGCCTGGTCCCTCCATCCACCGACTCGGGCCGAGGTAGCGTCCTAGCAGACAGCGTCAGGCCCCACCTGCCAACCTTTGCCTTGACCCCGCCCTTCCCTTCCCCGGCCGACCCGGCCCCGCCCCTTTACTCGGTTAGTCCCGCCCCACTTCACGTTCTTTATAGTAGCTCTCCGGGTACCATCTTTACCGAAGTTCAAATCCTTCCTGGATATGGAGCTCAATTTCTGCCTCCTCCCCCGCCTTGATTGCCATCTATGCTTAGTGACTTGCTTCCAGAGAGTACATTGTGCAAAGGGGAGAATATTAACTACAGTGGAGAAACCTGGCTGATACTCCCTGGTCACGTGATGAGGATTGATAGTAATCATGTTGATGTTGCGTTCACCATATGTAAGAAGGGTAGTTCATCTCTGGTATTCCTCCCGAAACCTCATAACCCCAGTTCTTCCTTGCGGAAAATACTAGACAAACCCAAAAACACCCGACCATGTACATTGACAAAAGCTGTCAAGTTCGTGTAAAACAAGTGAACTCTTGAGAGTCTCTCATTAGGCGGAGAAAATTAAGGAGACATGACAGTTACATGTAATGCGGCATTCTGGAGGGCATCCCGGAAAGGAAAAAGGGTTCTAAGGGGAAAGCTAGTAAAATCCAAATAAAGCACGGAGCTTAGTCAATACTACTGTTCCATGTTGCTTCCTTGTGACCAATAATAGATTCTAATAATAGAATTCGATGAGGAGTACATGGAAGTTCTCTAGTACATTTGCCACTTTGCAGCAAATCCATTCTAAAATTACGTTTATTGAAAAGTAAAAGGGGGACCGCAAAACGTCGGTTCAGATTTGAATCTGATTCATGCCATCATCAAGGATCAAGGCTCTTTCTAATTTTCACCTGTAGTTTGCTTCCTCATGGTGTCAAGACAGTTTTTCTGCAGCTCCAGCATCACGATCTCACACAAATGCATTCAAGACAGGAAGAAAAGGATCACGTGAAACAAGTATTTTCCTTTCATGAGGGAGGAAAATAATGTCTACTACCTTTTTCTAGATGGGAATTGACAAAGATGCTCCCCTTCAGCAAACTCAAGCCAGGCTGCTCTGAGGCTGCTTCTCAACGAGACCTCAACCCTGGCCTATGAAAAGTACAAACTCAGAACAACTGGTTTCATCCACTACCCGCCCCCTACACACACAAATTAAAAGACTTAGCATTATATTTTCAAAAAGCAAACATTAACTTAGTTTCTAATAGCTCACAGCCACATCCTTAAGGCGATCCTAGCCCTCTATACCTGCGAAAAGAATATCTGTTTGTTCTAACCAACAATTGATAATGGGCCCTTGGGGCGCCTGGGTGGCGCAGTCGGTTGAGCGTCCGACTTCAGCTCAGGTCACGATCTCACGGGCCAGGAGTTCGAGCCCGCGTCGGGCTCTGGGCTGATGGCTCGGAGCCTGGAGCCTGTTTCCGATTCTGTGTCTCCCTCTTTCTCTGCCCCTCCCCCGTTCATGCTCTGTCTCTCTCTGTCCCAAAAA